TTTGTTATTTCTTAAGCGTATCTGTCATCGAATTAAATTTAAACGATTTCAGCGCTTGAAACCACTACATCAGTCAACTACTGATAAATCAAATAAAAAATAGTTATTTATACATATAATAATAAGTGTATAAAGTGGCCTTCAAAAAAGGCCTTTACATACGAATTGCACACAATATTTCTACTACCTTACTAAGTTTGGCTACTTTACTCATTAGTGTGTAAACTGTTTTACTTTATGCACTATAGCTCGTACAGAAAATTTGAAATAAAATGGGTCATTTGTCATGTCAAAATACTAAAAATTATATCTTGTTTACGCACTAGTGCGTAAAAAATTTTACTTTACACACTAGTGAAAAAAGTAAAACTTTATGCACTCCGTGGTGTGCGTAATATGCGTACTTTACGCACAGTAGTAGAAAAATAAATTATAACGACACGCAACAGATCTTTAAATTTAAAAAATGTTTATTTTTATTTTAAATTATAAAGTAGCTTATTTTATCAGAAAGCTTTAAAGAATTAATATGATGATACAAGACCTACCATACAATAATAAATTAACATTGATACGCTCAAGAAATTAAAATTTTCAATAAAAATAAAAAATAAATTGCGATTTACTGTTATTTTCGAAAAACCGGAAGAAAGTCATGACGTCACAGACCAGTTGAATGAAGTATTTGACAGTATTTATTCCAAGCTTTCAAATAAAAAAGTTTTTATTCCGATATCTCAATTAATAGAGAAGATAAGAGCGGGTGGAATTATTAAACGGTTTGCTAGTAATAAAAATGCTTAAATACGCCACTGGTGTACTGTAAGTGAGTCTCAATATGAATATTATCCAATATGGCGGCCATGACAGCTGACAGAAAATTTTTAATATACGCTTTTTATCCAAAAATGTCCGATAAATTCAAATTTTCAAAAAAATAAATGGCGATTTTCAGTTATATCTGGAAAAATCGGAAGTAAGCCATGACGTCACAGACTAATTGGATCCAGTATATGAAAGTATCTATTATAAACTTTTAAACAAAAAAGTTTTTATTTCGATATCTTAATTAACAACGAAGATAAAAGAGGATGGAATTATTAAACGGTTTGCTAATACTTAATAAAAATGCTTAGATACGCCACTGGTATACGGTAAATGGGTCTCAATGGGAGTTTTGAAGCCCTCAAAGATTTTATAAAGATCTTACATTCCTAAATTTTTTCCATAAACGAATTAATAGTAACATGTTTAGAAAAAATATTATCCAATATGGTGGCCATTTTGACAGCTGTCAGAAAAAATTCATTACACGATTATTATACAAAAATGTTCCAGAAATTCCAGGAAACCGGAAGTAAGTGACGTCACAGAATAATTGAATCCTTCATAAGACAGTATTTGTTCCACTCTTTCAAACAAAAAAAAAATATTCCGATATCAATGAATAACGAGAATAAGGGGTGTGGAACTTTTAAGTGGCCCACCCTGTATGGTTCTGTATAGCATATCTTTTCTTTTGCTGTAAAGATATCGTCAATTTATTGACAGATTGAAATTAATATTAGTGCTAATAAAAAAGTATCCGATATTAGGACACTTTACACCCTTAAGTATCGGCACTCAATAAACCCTGTATATTTTCCCAATTTACATGTTTTAGTATCTTTGATGCGTTGTTAATCATTAAGGGTTTAATTTTTAAATGTTAGCCTATAGAACTGTGATCGGTAATGTATTTTCTAAACACCATGTATACATCTTTAAGATTTTTTCAAAATCCAGATTCAATCCCTTGATTTTTAATTATTTTTTAAAAGTCAAACATTTTCATTATTTTGAGATACCTATCTAGCAATTTGTAAAATAAAGTTAGACGAGTAAATATGTTCACACATTTAAAACATAAAATATTTTAGATATTATCTGAATATACGTATAAAAATATTTGCCGTAGGTATGTATATACACTTCGTACTTTGATTTGAAACAATAAATGCATTCATACGAGGACACCGTTGAAGATGCATTGCACGCCTTGGCTTAGGAGTTGATTGCTTCCAAAAATGCCTTCAATCATCACTCTTTTATCTCTCGTCGTGTTTATTTAAACTGAATAGCCAATAAAAATAAATGCAACAATAATTGGTGTTTTGTTTATCGTTGCAGAGAGATTACCGGAATTTAGTATCGCAAAAATTAGTGGGAAAGTGATTAACGAAAATACTTCACAGTCTATTTTTTAAGAGGATGTAAGTATCAGACAATAAAGAATGTTTGAATAAAGAAAGGAAACTGAAGTGTAAGACCATTGGTAAATGGTGTTTTTTATCACTTCTGGAATATCTAAAATTATTACCATTTTTTTTTTTTTTTAATATATGGCATTGATTGGTACAACTTCGAGTTCATATACCGGGTGATAATGAGACCAGCGCTATGTTAATATATCTCTATTATTTGTGACGCGATTTGTGTAAATTTTCAGAAACTTTGGTATTTTGTTGTACTCAACCTAGTAACAAAATCGTCAATGGGCTTAACTTAATCCTATGACTGGTTTTTGAGATACGAGGTGTTAAAGTTGAAAATTGACCAGTTTCTCGGAATTTTAATTTTTAAACTTATTAGCTAGATTGAATTTCTGTTGCAGACATACGTTTACTACATGTTTTTGTAATACATTGGTATACTTATAAGTACATTTAAATAAAATATTTATATCTATAGGGTGATTCACAAATTATGACGGTATTTCTGGCCAAAATCTTACTAATTCTACTTTGACAATAGTACTACTCAATATGGTATTTTGGCGGCAAAATATTTCACAATACCCTTTTTTTATACAGGGTATTTTATAGAAAAAAATATTTTTTTTAAGGATTAATTCAAAATCCTGTACTTTTGAATACATTTTTGGGAAAGGTAATGTGTATAAGAAAATGGATAATTATCACTAAACTTTTCACTAATATCGGAAAATGATTTGTATACCGATATATGTTGTAGGTAATTATAAAACAGTCAGATTACCTTATACAGGGTGGTCCTTAAGTAATTGTACATAGAAGTATAGTAGATTCCTCACTTTAAAATATTACAATTTAAACCAACTTGCTTTAATAAAATGTTGCTAATAAGGAATATACAGGGTGTTAAAGGTTAAATTTTAAGATTTCTTTTTTGCAATAACTTTAACGTTTTTGGATATGTATACAAAAAAATTGGAAATAAAAGTTTTTGGGCACGAAAAATCATAATCTGTTACCTACTTCGATGTAATTTGTAGAGGGCGCTACATAGGCTACATTTGTGGCATAAATGTGCCCCAAATTTTTTTGCTGTTTAAGTTAGCGGTATTTTTGTAAAAGAATATTAAAGCCACGTTATTGTAATAGAAGAAAAGTATACTTGTTATTAACCTTAAAACTTAACGGTTTATGATATAATCGAATTTTAGGGATCAGGGTCTAAGTGCAATGTGGACAATCCACACGAGTTGTACAGTATATTTTTTCTACGACCCACTAACGAAAATCCACAAGTTAAAAAAAATATTTTAGGTTATTAAGACTAATTTTAAGATAATTTATGACTTTTAATAATTTTTAAAATAAAATAAACGAAAAAAAAATTAATTTCATTTTTCCCCATCCGAGAATCGAACTCGATTCTTCCGTGTGGAAGGCAAGAACGCTACCTACAGGACCACCTATTCTTTTATTTTTGTTGCTTTAATACTCGTAATTGAATTGACTTCATATAATTTTATTTAAATTAACAAATTATTTATAATTATAGAGGAAATAAATACAAAAATTTTAATGATGGTTAAGCTCAACTAAAAAATATACTGACAATTGATCGGTTGATCAAAATATAACCGGTGATTGGTAGATTTAATTTTTTGCAGTGTTCTTACTACCTAGAATGGATATGAAATATATTTATTCAGTTGAAGGCAATAGAATACTTTTTGTTTTGTAATCTGTGCGTAGATAAGCTAATATCCATGTAGGTGTAGACAAAATATATTTTTTATGTTAGTATTAAAATGAGAGTACCAATGAACAAATTTTATGTTCTCCGGAATATTCTTTCAAAGAAAAATATTATGATATTTTATAATTCTCAAGTAATAGCACCACTATACTCCACTACGTTGGATTTTTCCACAGATTTAGGGAAAAAATTAAACCAGCAACACCGTAATGCCATTCCCCAACACTAGTCCATTTTTTCCCATTTCTATAAAATCCAAGATGGCAGCTAGATGAAAAATATTTACTCATTACATTACAAGATGTACTTAGAGGTTTTTTTATTGAAATATTTGAACACTATCTAAACACTACATGAATACTACTTGAATATTACTTGAATACTAATTGGAATACTACTTGAATACTACTTGAAGTAGGTACTTTTTCAAGCTTTACCTTACGCTTAGTCAATAGCATTACGGTGTTATTGGTTTAATTTTTTCCCCAGATCTGGGGAGAAATCTGGCCTAGTGGAGTATAGTGCTGCGGTTACTACTGATATTGTATAGTAGCAAGAGTTGGAGCATTTAACACTTTATTAAAAATTTAGAGACAACACAATATTCTTTTTTTAAAAATTATCCTAAAAATTGAGACAATTTACTACAAAAAAAAAATTGAATGAGACGAACATATTAAACGTTAAATTACTTTTTCCTTAACAATGTATAATAAGAATATATGAAGGGTACAGGGGAAAAACGGGCTAAGTCACTTTTTAGCAAAGTTGAGATATTGACGTCACTCGATAGAAAATACGTTAAATTTTGTTCTAAAAATATTGTCCACTGCAAGAACACGCTAAGTAAAGAGACATTAAATGCGAAAAATATCCCGTATAGGGGATTAACGTAATATGATCTTACGGAATTAGAGGTGTGTGGAGACGAGTTTATAGCTTCACATGGCATCACCAGAATTAAGTATTTACTCACATCTTTGCAAAGTACTGGCATGCCTCCAACCGATAAAAGAGGAAAACACTCAAATAGACCATTAAAACTGTCTGATGATACTCGTAATAAAATTAAAGAGCATATATCATCATTTAAAGGTAGAGGCAATCATTATAGTCAGAAAAAATATTTGCCTGAAGAGCTCAACATAAAAAAAATGTGGGAAATGTTTAAAAAGATGCATCCCGGCAACCAAGTAACATACGAGACCTACAGAACCACTTTCACCACAGATTTTAATATAGATTTTGGTTATTCACGAACAGACACGTGCAGCACATGTGACGAGTACCATAGATATATAACCAAGACAGGATTATTTACAAAATTTTTGAAGAATGAACGGTGGTGTCCGCGGTAGAAACCCAATAATCGGATTGAACATTGATGCCAAGTTTACGTGCTTTAACTATAGATATATATAACCAAGACAGATTACACAATTTCTGAAGTCAACGCGGATGATCCTCGACAGAAATGCAATATTTGGATAAAATTAAAATATAGATGCCAAGTTTGCGATGTTTTTAACTGTAGTAATGTTATTGCGTTTGCTTGAAATACTGTTAGGTCTTTAAATGGTCCAAAAAAAATAACGTCTGACAACAGCGGATCTAGAGTAGACCGCAATTGTGGACGGTCGTATATTGTTTCATTCATAAAATTCCTTCGATACAGTATTAGTCCAGGAGCCAGTGCATTTTTTTCGTACTTGTTTTCCCGGTCCGTGTATATTTAAATAATCTATTCCCAGTGAACTGTATATTTAAAATGGAACGCCAATCTATTAACAAAAGTAAGCCAGATTGAATTCGCGCATTACGTCACATCGATACAAGTGTGTTTACAAAGTGCCTTTGCAGGCCTATTTTGCCCATTTCATGTATTTGTTTTTAAATCATGTTAAATTACTATTTTTGAAACTCAACAAGGAGAAAATCCAATTAACTCTTCCGTTGTATATATATATAAGATAAATTAACTGAAGTTTTATTAGTAGTATTAACACTAAAATTTTCCATGAAAACGACCACATCTCAAGCAACTTATTTTCACTGATTTAAATTATCGAGTCAGGTTTTATTTTTGTTTTAATAAATTAAAAGTATTCTTTATCGTTAACAACAATTTAATAGATGAGAAATACGTTTTTTACATTTTTAATGTAATTTACAGAAAATAGCTAGGTATGTATTTGTTTTTAAATAATTTGATAATTTATGAAAAAAGGGAGTAAAAGTGGAATGACCAGTGGCCAGTAGGTCAGTCAATACAATGTATCATATATTTCTATTATAATATAACTAAAATACCTACATCTTTTAATCATAAGGGCACAAGTTAAAAACCATTTTAATATATCCATTAGAATGAAGTAATAATAACTTAAAGAGACGAGGTCTTAAAGTAATAACTGGTACAGCATGTTTTTTAAACGTTTCCTCATTCCTGCTAGAATGAAATCACTTACTATGAAATGTGCTCTAAAAATGGCATTTATAGCAGTCAGTGTTTCAGTCTTAGGATCTATTCCTAAAACCCTCATCCAAGCTGCATACATATTAAAAAATAATTTAAAAAAAAACATATTATATACCTATATAGTTTTCGGTTCTGGGTGCCCTAAAAGAGGCCACTTAGCCGACAATTTGGCTCAGATAGCTAAAACCCAAAAGTCACACCCCGAACCAGGACGTATTGCTATCCTTTTTAGTAAAAAATAACTACAAATAACTTACCTGAAAAATGAAGGCGTCTAACTTTACACCAAAAAAAAACATACACTTTTTCCCATTGTTGCAAGCACCCGATGACGATTAGGTAGATATCAACTAGAAGCATGTAGTTAATGGTTATAAAGCTTATTTTAACACAAAAAGAATAAAGCACTAGTCAAAAAGCAGCAATCAAATATAAATAGACCACAATATTAAAATTCAAATTAAGAACTATATAAAAGACAAATACTCTAAAAGCGCAAAAGAATCAGAACCAAATAAAATTAATAACCATAATAACCTAAAAATCACACTAAAATTGCAAAAACTATTACTGTAAAATCATGAGATTACATCAATAATGCATATATGCGTCGGAGTATCGCAAATGTCAAAAGTACAGTGTTAGCAGTATTATAGGACCATTTCTACCACCCGCATCCAACGATATTGGCGTTCCACAGTTCACTGTATTTTCCTCACACCTCTAGTATAAATGATTTGACATAACGATACTAACAATAATTAGAAATAATGTAGAGTAATAAGTGTTTCGTGAATTCTAAATAAAACAATTATTATATAAAAGTGTAAAAGGAAATGTAATTTATTTCCCTATTTTCTTCTGTAATATCTTCAATTATTATTATGTTTAATTTCTATAAATAAACCGACTGGTTAGGTGAAACATTGTGATATATGATTTTATTTATGTGTCCTATGCGTACACTTTAATATACAAAACACCTGGAACATTCTTTAAATAATTGTGGTCGTAGAAATAATTGTGTACATAACTCGTTTGAAAGTGTATTTTATACACTTGCAAAATATATTATCCATACAGATTAATCAGACTATTTTTTTACTTAACTTCAGTACATCTCTTACTACTAAAACTATTTTTATCAATGGAAAAAAAGGACCGTGTTCTCGTAGGTTTTGACGCTTTTTCGGCCTCAGCCCATCGGATCCCCCTCTAAATATATATGAATTTTGCATAGAATTGCTAATCCTACAATTCTCTATTCGTGCTTGCTGACTGGGAAAATAAATACAGAAAATCGTCCCTGTCTCCTGGACTATACAATAGATGATGATGAGAACTTCACAACAAATACACTTTTATGAATGGCTAGTTGGGGATGTGACGAGTACCTAGCTAAAATGAAATGTCTGGGGCATGAAAACCAAAAACTAGATCAAACAAAGAAGGAAGACATAACAGCTTAAATAAAACAACTGACCACATCACATGACCTGCATTTATGTAAAGCAAAATCATTTTATTCAGTTAAAAAGCAATTAAAGCTTTCAAGTCGTAAATCAAACTTAAAAGAGTCAGTCTGTATAGACTTCGGTAAATAATTTCCTATCCCCAAAATTCTTACTAATGATGTATACTACAAGAGACAGTTGTCCAATTATTTGTTCAACCTTTACGTTCTCTCTGATTCAAGAAGTGTCATTTATGTATACCCAGAAACTATCGCCAAAAAAGGTAGTGATGGTGTTTCTTCTCTACTGAATCACTTTGAATACAATCATCTTGATTTAAATGTAAGACACTTGGATTTGTTTTGTGATTCCTGCGGTGGACAAAACAAGAATCTTGCTCACCAACAAAAAAGGTTTGATTCTGTACGAGTTACTTTCCCTATTAGAGGCCATTCTTATATGGAAAATGAAAAGAATATGGGAATCATCAATCAGAAAGCCAGAGTTGAAACTGTGAAGGAATTATGTGACCTCGTCCAATGTTCCAGAAAAAACCTTCGCCCTTTGTAGTGGAACATATTTCAGAAGACAATCAACACATTTTTAAAAAGTGGACCGAACACTTGAATAAATTCTACAAAAAGCTTTTCAATTCAACCAATAAGGAATTCGAAGTTTCAAAAGAACACCCTAGGTTAATCAAGTATAGAGACACATACAATGGGACATGGTTCTCTGCAGTTGTGATGGACAGAAAACCTATCATTTTCAAAAATTTGGAGAGGAACAGCCAATTTCTTCTTACAGAAATATCTTACGCAGGTAAACCTATACTCATTATACTGTTAGTTTGATTATTAAATTTTTCTTATTCGCTCCAGGTCCAATACCAATTTCGGCGGAAAAATTTGCCAATTTGCAGAGTTTGAAAAAGTTCTGTAGGAAAGCAGCTCAAGATTATTTTTGCTCACTGGTGCATAATTGACTGGATATATGAAGGACTTCTTTCGTATAAAGAAACTTTCAACTTAAACAAAAAATAAATGTGGCACTCAGGGACTGCTGCGGTAAAGCTATTGCATAGCATTTTTTATCAACTTATGCAATTGTACTTATTTATTTAATTTATGCAGTATTTTTTTTTTCCTTGATATTAATTCAAGTTTTTTCTTTGATATTAATTCAAGTTACACTTTTTGAGCGTGGTGACCGATAAGAAAACAATTTTTTTCTTTTATTGAATAAATGAGAAGTTAATAATGTTTAAAATATTTTTATTATCTTACAATACTTGTAGATTATTCAGGAATTTTTATCATTGAAACTATAGGTTTATGGTAACTGAAATAAGAAACATAAGTTTGAGACTTGATATCCTCTAAATATCTGGAAAATACCGCGTCAATGGTGGTCCCATATTTTGTTGTGGATTCTTGTGGATCATTATTCATTTTCAAATTCAGTTTTTCCGAAATTGTGTCTAAAAGAGATAGAATCAGTTATGAGCAGTTAGCAGCTAGTCTACACGCATACATCTAGTCGCATGCACACAAACACCGTGCCGAAGTCTGCCGAACTGAAACGACGTTAGACGATGCACGGCTTTCAACGCCGCACCGCTGTGCCGGTCAGAGTGGGGGGTGTTAGGTTTTTTTTCGTTACGGACGTTACGGAATTTCTTGATTCGGTCGCCGCGCTCAAAGCTCGCGATAAAAGCTATACAATAGCTTAAAAAAATTGTTAATTTTCTTACACTAATCGAACTTTTAGTTTTTTCTTTGAATTCAGTTAAAGTTCAGATTCACTATATTAGTTTATGTAGACATAAAGCTACTTGTTGATTGAAATAAACATAATTCAAAAAAACATTTTTCTTTAATATCAGGGGAAAACGGGCAATAAATTGTTTATTTTTCTATCAAAAAGTTTTTAAAATGCTTTCAATTTATGACACAAAGATCCCAGATAGTTAGAAAAAATATTGGTAAAAAAAATTGTGAATGGAAAAACTTTAGATTTTGTAGCGTTTTGAAATTTAAAATTGATTTATTTCAAAATATTTAAATGCTTTTATACCAGAAATCATTTCCGCTAGTTCTTTGTCTCTCCCCTGAAGCTGCAAATTAAGTTCGTTTAATTTCTCTGTAATGTCCACGAGAAAACCAAAATCTCTAAGCCAGATTGAATTTTCTAGTTCCGGAGTCGGTTCATCGCGTTGTTTGAAAAATTGAACTATGCCAGATAGAACATCATTAAAACGTTTCAGTACCCGTCCTCTACTTAACCATCGGACTTCAGAGTGAAGGAGTAGGTCCCCATATTGACAGTCAACTTCATCGGCCAAGGTTTTGAATAATCTTCTTTGTAACGCTTGAGCTCTAATCTTGTTCACAATTTTTACCACCAGTTTCATAACGTTGTTTAGTTTCAGGAAATTTCCACATAATGCTTGCTGATGGATAACGCAGTGGTAACAGAGAAATTGCGGAAAAGTTTCATCTTTACAACATAACGCCACCAGACCCTTATCACAACCCACCATAGCTGGAGCGCCATCGGTTGTCAAGCCTACCATTTTCGATATTGGAATTTTCTCGGAAGAAATAATATTTTTTAAATGAGAAAACAACTCCTGTCCAGAAGTGTGTCCATTCAGTGGAATAAACTTCAAAAGATCTTCTTTAATCGTAAAATCACTAAAAACCATCCTGACGAACACGGCCATCTGGGCAGTGTCAACGACATCTGTTGATTCATTCAGTTGAAGTGAAAAATAAACACAGTTATCTAAGTCAGTTCTTAACTATAAAAAAATATCATTGCTCATTACTTCTACACGTCTCATCACTGTATTAGCAGAAAGTTACATAGATTTTATAGCTGAAACTATCTCGTCTTTATTTCTAAAGTTGGCAAATAACGAATCAGCAGCTTCTAAAAACGCCTGTTTTATCATTTCCCCGTCTTCATAAGGTTTCTTTTTTTGTGCAATTATCTGGGACACGGTACGATGCTTCAGTTGCAGCCTTATTTTTGTCGACTGTTCTTAAAAATATTGATTGTTGTCTAATTAACTGCTTTTTTAATTGTTTCAGTTTCTCCTTTCTGGCGGCAGAATGTAGTGGGAATTATTTTTCAAAATTAGAATGTATAGTTTTATGATGTCTCTCAATATTTCCTGTTTTAGCAACGGAGACCGAAGTATTACATAACAAACACACATTTTTATCTTTAACTTCTGTAAAAAAGTATTGTTCTTCCCATTCCGAATGAAAGTGGTATGTCTCACAACTGCTTGCCATAATATTATTTTTTGTTGTTCTCTACTAACCCAACCGCTGGACGTTGGTTACGCGTTCAGTTTTAAACTAAGCGCAATGTCGCCGCGCCGTGCGTATTTACCCCATTCAAAGCAATCCTGATCGTTCTCGAACACTAACGCGCTGGTCCGGCTGGTCGGTTCTAGCCGATTCTAGCTTGATGGCGTCAGCGGCAGATCGCTCACCGCAACGTTGCCGCTGTTTATGTTTAATATTATGACAATTAGATTTTTTTGTGGAATTTTCGGAAGCTTCTCTGATTTTTGCAGTTTGTATTTTTTAAATTAAAATCGTTGTGAGAGCTACCAGAATTGCCTCCGCGAGCTACCGGTAGCTCGCGATCGACAGGTTGGCGACCACTGCCATAAAGTATACACGAGTTTATTGTCTTTGTCTGCTTTTTTAAGGTATACTGTATATATTTTATTTATTTATTCTGTTTAATTTCTTCGTCTCTTATTCTTATTTCTAGAATGTTTCTTTAGTTAAGGAAGTATTTATAAGTATTTTTTCTACACCCACATGGATATTAGCTTATCTACGCACAGATTACAAAACGAAAAAGTATGCTATTGCCTTCAACTGAACAAATATATTTCATATCCATTCTAGGTAGTGACAACACTGCAAAAAAATGAAACCCACCAATCACTGACTGCTATTATTTTTAAATTTTAAATAGCGTTTCTGTTTTTATTTCGTCTATAATTATTATAATTAATTTGTTAATTCAAATAAAACTATATGAAGTCAATTTAATTATGACTATTAAAGTATCAAAAATAAAATAATAGATGGTTAGCTGTCTTGTACACGGAAGATTGGAGTTCGATTCTCGGTTAGGGAAAAATGAAATTAACTTTTTCTTTTTTTTTCGTTTATTTTATTTTAAAAATTATTAAAAGTCATAAATTATTTTAAAATTAGTTAGATTGTCTTAATAACCTGAAATATTTTTTTTATTTGTAAATTTTCGTTGGTGGGTCGTAGAAAAAATATAGTGTACAACTTGAGTGGATTGTCCACATCGCACTCATATATGGCTATCATAACCACTCTTGTTGCACAAACTACTATTTCAATATCTCTAACATGTACATAAAAACGTTATCTGAATAAGTAGGTGCAAAACAGGCAGAAATGCCTAGACTTAATGCTCAATCAGATGTCTTTTAATAACTATTTTTATCATTAGGTAATGTATTTTAATATTTAAACAAATTTCATTTATTTTAGATTTGATTTATAAATAAATAGAAAGCAATCTAATTGGCCAAAAAATAGAGGTGTGAAATTTCGAAAAAAATATTTCGCGCTTCAAGAAAATAAAAAATAATAAATTCTTTTTAAAATTCACGGAGAGTGCACGGTTATTATTCTAGACTTAAAACAAATACGAAAATTTTGAAAATGTGTGTATTTAGAAACACGATCCTAATGTTTTTAACCTATTACAAAAGCGTTCGAAGCTGCCAACAATTTCGATCCAAAACAACTGCCAAAATACGAAATTATGATCTGGGAGACAAAATTATAGGTAAGGCGATATTAATTTTGATAAAAAAATTTATTATCACCGTCGATTTATTTTGAAAATGACGACGAGCAAGCTTGATTTTAATCATTAATTTGTGGAAAATTTGAAAATACGCTGCATCTATTTTTTTTAATTATATATGTAAGATTTGTTTAATTATTAAATTGTTATTTTGAATTAAGTAATGAAATTGAAGTGATTGAAGAATTAATCTGATCTATAATAAATAATTTAAAAGATTTTATATAGGGAAGTAGTGGAAAGGAAAGTAGCTGCAATAGGAACAAAAATAAAATATTAGAAGAAGCAACTAATCAGTAAAGTAAGATCTAAGATCTTACTCGATTGAAGAGAAGCAGCAGTTGGAGTAGGAACAGATGAAGGAGTTGAATATGAAAGAAGGAGCTAAGCCGAAATATTTAATAGTTAATAGTTGTAAGTTACAATGAGTTACAATAATAAATAAGTTACAATAATGGAAACCAATTATATAATAACAAGCACCTAGGTGAGAACATCTGTATGTGCTGAAAAAATTAAAATTTTATTTTAATTATATTCAATGAATTATAAAGGGAATAAAGAAAAAGAAACATTTTTTTTTTTTAAATAAAAAATAAAACTTGAACAATTTATGCAAGAAACAGAAAAAAAACTATTTAAAAAAATCCATGTATTAAGTCCGTTATTCTTGAAATATTCTGATAAACTTTGCATTATTTTGGAAAATGTATATTTTGCTAACTTTACAGAATCTTTTATATTTGTTTAATAATTTTATATGAAGAGGTAGAGCGTTATAGAACTTTGTCCCTAGATAATTTACACTGTTTTTAAAAAAAACTCACTATTTGGTTTTGGTACTTTAATGCACATGTTCGACGCAGTTCTAGTGTTATATCTATGTTTTAAAGGGTTTTTAAAAATACATTTTTTTTGTATATAACAACACACAGCGTGAATATATAAACATCTAACATTGCTAATTTTTTCATTATATTCGCTCCGTGCGAAGTCATGGAAAGGGAAGCAAAAGCGATACTAGCGCTAGCTGCGGATAATTCGTGCATTTTAGGGGGATATTTTGTAATTTTGGCATATCAAATACACGTATACATTTTAAGTAGG